GGCAGGGGCGAGCACCCGCGGGCACGGGGCTCCCCGGCGGGGCTGGGGCTGTGCTGGTCGTGCTGCCCCTCTCGTCAAGGGTTGGAACTTAATTCGTGTGATAATTGCGCGTGACTTGCGCCTCGGAGACGGTCCCGTGCGAGCGTGTTCCCAGTGGGGTGGGCTGCTTGGTTTGTTTTCCAGGTTGCTCTGCTGGACATAGATATCTGTGGGCCATCAATCCCCAAGATGATGGGTCTAGAAGGAGAACAGGTAAGTGAAATACTCGAATGTGACATTTAAAGGCTTTCTGCTCAATTTTTCATGAACTTCCAGGGTCCTGTAGAATTAAGGCTTCTATAAGGACAGCTTCTTGGGAAATGTGTGGTAATGGGTAGGGAAATAAATAAAGAAAGGTGAGATGGAGAAGTTCAGCATGATTTAGTTCATGAGTTGTCTGCAAACCAACCTTTGCTGCATATTGGCCACATATTCATGGCTATTTGAAACTTAAGTCATGTTAGCATGATCTTTATCAGCCCTAGAACGTTTATGTAACCATATAAAGTCACGGGTACATTTCCTGGAATAGGGTTGAACAGTTATTATTCTCTTATTAATGGAGATGTGGCTGTTCTGTGGTTTTTAACACAGCTGCTCCAATACAGCAGTGTTGTACCTATGGGCAGCGTGTCTATTTACCCAGTTTTGACTTACAGCTGTGTTTCATGTAATATCTGTATTTATTTCTAACGTAACTTTGTGTATCGCTTCAATTTTCAGGTTCATCAGAGTGGATCTGGATGGTCTCCAGTGGTAAGTTGGTGTGTTTCAGAAAGTTTGTTGGGTTTGTTTGGGTTGGGCACTGTCTTCTGAGGTGAAAAGCGAAGGAGGGAGAAGCAGAGGATGCTTCTATTAATTCTTGCTGTAATGATGTAAATATCCATATTCTGTAGAAAAAACATATAGGCTATATAGATCACTGTGTTAAATTTCTTTTCTTAATCTATACTACTGTATTTCTAAAATAAGTTTTATTATTTGAAGTATCTCTTGTTTGTTGGCTTTCCTACTATACTATGGGCAATAAATAGAAGTTACTGGATTTCTTTTTTTTTCTGTTATGTAGCTGTGTAGTATGTCACCTTTTCAGTAACAGACAAAAAGTATCTTACAAGAAAAAACTCATTAATCTTTAGAAAATGCAGGGGAAGTTTTGCAGGACTGTGGTTGTCTAAAGATCACCTTTAGTGTGTATGCTCTTAAAAAGAGAGCTTGATGCTGAGAGGGAAAGCTGTCTTTACCCTTTCGCTTTCTCCAGTGATTTCATAAACCCTTGTAAATCTTACTACAACTGGATTTTTTTCAGTCTCTGTATGTAATTGGTGAGCATTGCATAAAGACTAGGTATTAATGCCCTTTGGTAAGAGAGATGCATATGGTTTTCTGCCCTTACTTTCTTAAGGTCTTCACCTCCCAACCTGCTTTTTCTATAACATCTGGTTTTAGAGTTTGTTTCTCTTTCTTTACTGTTCTGTAAGCTCTACCGAGTTTCTCTACCTCTCTTTTAGTATGTTGAAGAGAACTTGGGTGTCATGTCAGTGGGGTTCTTGCTCAGTAGTCCTGATGACGCTGTTATCTGGAGAGGACCAAAAAAAAATGGTATGTATCGAGTATTTTCAACAGTAATTTATGCACTTGAAAGATTTAATACCATGAGCTTGCAGAAATTATAGGAAAAAATGAGTCAAAGGTTACTTTAGTTGAACATATTCATTGGATAAAGTTAGAAGGTCAAATACTGGGGGGTTTGGGTTTGGGGTTTTTTTTTAAAGCCTTGGCAAAATAAACATTTTTGTACTGAAGTTGTCAAGCTAGAAGAATCTGCATACCTAGACTATAAATGCTGACCCTAAAGTTTGAAATATATGAAGTTATTTTTACCTTTCTTCTACGTTCTTATCCTTTCTTTTAGGGTTGATCAAACAGTTTCTCCGAGATGTGGACTGGGGTGAAATCGACTACCTGATTGTAGATACCCCTCCAGGAACCTCAGACGAACACTTATCTATTGTGCAGTACCTCAGCGCAGCGCACATCGACGGTGCTGTTATAATCACCACCCCTCAGGTACGAGAAGTTGATTTCCACTGATAGAAGCATCGTGACAGTTAAAGCCAATCCTTGCCTTGGAGTCCCTGTCTAACCTCAGAGAAGGGATGGTAACGGGATCGAAGGGAGTTGATTGTGCCCCCAGCTGGCTGGTTTGTGGGTTAGGTGGGTGTCTCTGGAGTAGGGCACCTCAGCGGGTCACGATGAACCACTCAGCCGTTCACAGCCAAAAGCTGTCACGATCCCTGTGGTGAAGGGAAATGCAGTATTTCACTTCTTCGAAACTAGAGTTCACATCATTGTGAACCTGTAATTTACCCACCAGCAGCTTAATGTTCAGAAGTCAATAAGAAGTTTAGTTTTTAAGTGCTAAGATGTGCGCTGTTTGACGCCATGTGAAGTAGCCTGTTGCCTCCAGTAGGCAGCTTTGTGATGTGTGTTTTTTAAAGTCATTCCCTGGAGAGCTGAAACTCAAAATACATCAAATTCAAACATAGGTTTTAATGACTCGTTTGGAAAGGAACGAAGGACGAACTAGTGAAAGACATGTCGTATTTCTACAACAGCTGAAAAAAACAAAAAGTAAAGGAAGTGGAGGAGTGAGGGCAATAGCAGATGGGTGATGAGGGAAGAAGGGAACAGGAGAACTGAATGAGGTCAGGAATATATGCAAAAAGTCTGAGGGGATGATAAGCTTTTCATGTTTAATTTGAAAAGAGAAGGCAAGCATAAGCCTGGTGGTTCTTGTCCTTGCCTGCTCTATTGTGAATACTAAGGGTCTTTCTATAAACTGAAAATGTGAAAAAGTTATATTTAAAAAACTAAAGACAGATTAATATAAGAGATAAAACATAAATATGGCTGAATCTACTAGAGTCAGATTTTGAAACAGAACCACGGTCAGTAGGCTAGCACTGTTGTACCAGGTCTATTGCTACTCACAGAGTTGTTGCTAGAGCGCAAAACACATGTTTATGTTCCTCAAAATACAAAGAGAGCAATAATAATCCATTCTGAACTTTCTTTAAAATAGCTCAAAGGGTGTAACTTAACGGGTTCAGCATCAAAACGTTACAGTCAAATAGCAGCGTTTCCTAACGTTTGTAGGAAGTGTCGCTTCAGGATGTTCGGAAGGAGATCAACTTCTGCCATAAAGTGAAACTGCCAGTCATAGGGGTTGTGGAAAATATGAGTGGCTTTATATGTCCGAAGTGTAAGGTAAGGCTGGCTGTATACCACAGCTTTTTTTATCTTGAGATTGCTTGTATATAAAACATTGCTCCAAACATGCCTTGTTCTCAGAATTGCAGAATTTTAACTCTCAGTTTCCTGTTGTCCCAGAAAGAATCTCAGATCTTTCCCCCAACTACTGGAGGTGCAGAGAAGATGTGCCAGAACTTAAATGTTTCCCTCCTGGGTAAAGTGCCTCTAGATCCTCAAATAGGTAACGTTACTGCATTGCACTAGGTTTAAATCAATTTCTTCCTCCTATACTGATGTTATTACTGGAAAACCCTGACTCAGACACTGATAAATTAGAATATTAAACATTTTGTCTTGTAAGCAAATATCCACTTTCAGATAGAACATTTTTTTTGAATCAAAAGTTACTGGAACTGTGATATAGTGTGGTATGAGAAGAAGTGTTAGGGTAATGTCCTTAGCCTGAAACTTAATCTTGTTTAAGATTAGATTATGCATCTTTTCAGCTTTATAATTATGTTTGAAGCACAACACATCTTCCTGTTTGGTGTCATCACCTGGAAGTGCAGACTGAATAAAATCATAACCACTATAAAGAATAGTATCTTGCAGATGTCAAGCATTAAAACTAGTGCTTTAACTTCACTGTTACTGGCACCACCCAGATTCTGTTGTGGCTAACAAGGCAGCTTGTGTCCTTGCCCACCAGCTATTACCAATTAATACTTGATTTAATGACATCAAGGAACAGGTCAGTACTTCCAAAATAATGATTGAAGGTTTCTGCTAATAGTATTCCTTTGTAAAACTGTAAGGTGTAGCTCTAGTTATCTTACTGACATAAGGACCTTTTAAAAGTCTTATTAAAAGACACAAGTGGCTCTTTGAAAGGGTGTGACTGGTAGCAGGATAAAGGGTTAAACAAAGGAAAGTTCATCCTTTCCCATTGCTTTGCTTTCATGTTTTTCCCCTTCAAGGAAAAAGTTGTGACAAAGGTCAGTCTTTCTTGGCTGAAGCACCTGAGTCTCCAGCTACATTGTCTTACAGGAGTATCATTCAAAGTAAGTCTGACAATCGCTGTGCAAAAGCATCCTCTCAGCTCTCGGCACTTCAGCAATCTATAAAGGTTCTAAACAGAAGTGTGTTACTCTGCCATAAATAATAAAATCAGTAGATGTGCATAGCAGTTATGAAAGTAACAGGTGCAAATCCCATGTTCACTTCTGGGCATCAGTTGACAGGCTTCTAAAGCAGTAACGAAACGGTATTTTGGAGCTGGTTTCACTGTCTGGCTTCAGTCAGTTTTCAGAGATGTGGGTGTACTTGCTCCCAGCGAAGTTCTGAGATTCTCAAGCAGGCCTGCAGAGGGTGCTCACCATAGCCCAGCAGGATCCAGCTGGGGAATCACGGCCTCCACTTGTAACTGTAATTGCACAAAAGCCCATACAAGAACTGCCTAAAGAGCTGGTGACATACAGTGTAAAAATACAAACAGCTGGGAAATTCCTAAAGCTGTTTTCACTGCGGTAAAACCCCAACTTCTGACACTTGTACCAATGGGGGACAGAGTGATGCAGCAGTAACTAACTCCTGATGCACAAAAATTATTTATCTTTTCCATGTCTTTGCAGGGATTCAGGAATACTGTGATCAACACCATTTTCAAGAAGAAAAGATTATCTAAACTATGAATGGAATAAAAATTTAGTTCATGTTTAATTACAGAACAGTAACTTATGCCTTGATTTAATAGAAGGAATGTATTCTTTTTGTATATTGCAAATAAATTCTTAATATAAATATTCTTGCCTTAGGTTTTTTCTGTAGTTCAAGATTCTTGTAGGTCGCAGATGGTCTCAAAGTTCGCTAGAAAGCTGAAAAACTGACCTTCCCCTGTGTTACGTAGGTGCAGTCCACATCCAGTGTCATGGTACTAATAGCCTGAATATGAAGTTGGTGTTTGAAGACATGCATGTACAAATTTTGTTTAGGAAGTTGAATGTAAAATGTGCTTCGCTGGCTGTGGGGCGTCGTATCGGATGTATCTGCCATGCGCGTGCAGTAGGCTTTGTCCTGCCTTCTGTGCTGGGCTGAACTGTAATGCCTGCTCTGCTCTCTCTTTCTCAATAACACCATTTCAGTTTCTCTCAGTGGAAAATATTTATATTTAGAGTGAAATTTGGTGTAGTATTGTCTCCTTTTTTTATAACTGGCATCAGTTTAAAAAAAACCCACTAGAGTTTAGACAAACATAGTACAAGCACAGTATTTTATTTATTACAGGTATCAGAATAAGATTAACCTATTTTAACTATTTATACATGACTGCTTCACACAAGGACTGTGTGAACGTGCTACATGACTTGTGTTCTTTCTTCCAGTCAGCCCTAAACCTGAACACTAAAAAATAAACCTTCGGTATCTTTAGTAACTTAAGCAGCCCCTTGTGACTGCAATCCTTTTTAGTGAGGAATCAAAGCTTTGAGAAATCACTGTTGTGTACAAGAGGGAGGCAGTTTTCTTTTTGTTTATTGTAGTTCCAAAATGAGGCCAATGAGCATTGTCTTTCGATTACATTCTAATTCATGGTTAAGTTTCAGGTTAGTTGACAGATTTTTTTTCTTAGTGTGCCCTGTATAAACTATAAGCATTGTTTTAACTACCTTTTGATGAAACTCAGAAGTAAAGGCTCTAAACCTTTCTGAATCTAAAGACTCAAACACAAATGACATAAAATCCTTATTCATGCAGGCATAACTCTAGAAGAGCTTTGCTCAGGTATCTTCGTATGGAGAACAGCTTTCATAAATAAGTATTTTTGTTCTTCCTCATTTGATTACCTAGTGCCTGTCTTCCCATGTTCTTCAGTGTGGTCGTTGGCCATTCTCCTTGCCTGCCCTGTGGAACGAACACAGGAAGCGTGGCTGTTAGCACAACTGGGATGTTGGAATCTTTCCTAAAAAGCAGGGAAGAGCCTTCTGGAAGCTGCGGGTTGGGGGTGGCTCTCCCAGCTGTGCCCACGCAGAGGCCTTGCGATGCCTCGGACGGTTTCCCTCCCGGGGCTGTTGGCAGCGGGGCTCGGGAGCAGCCCAGTTGTGAAGCTTCAGCAGCCTCCGAACATGAGCCAGAGGAGGGGCACGGCCCAGGAGAGGCTTTGGGGGGCAGGGTGGCCCCTCCAGGACTGAGCTGGGGAGCAATAACCTGAGCAGAGCCAAGCGCTGCGGCGTGGGCAGGTCAGCGTGCGCTGCTCCAGGGGCTGCACAGAACAACTCCATACTTACTCTTGGGAACGTCTGCTGTGACAAAAAACCTTGAAGTTACTCTGCTGGTGCTTTTTTGTCCCCCTAATTTGCAGTGGATGTAGCCATATAAATTAGCAGTCTGAAGGGAGATCCCAGCTATCACAAGAGCCTGTGGACAAACAGAAATTCAGCGGGGACAAAGACACTGTTCTATGTAGACTATGGGCAGAATATCTCTACACATGTGCATGTACATATGTATACATACTATTTAGATAGACATATGTGCTATGAGAGGGGGATATTCCTTACAATAATAAATGACCTTCAAAGAGATCCAATTATGTCCAACACACGCAATAATTACTTTCTACAAAATGCCTCTCTTTTTATCAAAATACTAATACATATTTATTTTTGGTCACTCTGTATCTTGAAAAGATTTCATTACTTTCCTAAAAGCACTTACTCTAAAAAGGACCAATTCAACTGATTCCATGATCATTTCACTTTTTTTCAGCCTGATTTGTACCTAAAAGCTTCTCATCTAGATACATAGCAAACTTGTTTAGCTGACAAGTGCCTTATTACATACAAATAAGATCCTGTAACTTAGAGGATTTACAAAGAGCATCAATAGATATGAATTGATACCTAGCATTAGCAGGCAGTGAAAATAATTGGATCCTTTTGTGGTACTACAAGCTTAGCAGCAAGCTGAACCTGTTTGACTAATAAAACAACTTAGAAAAAATGTTTTTCTTACCCTCAGAAACGGTCTCCTAGCAGTTACTGTGTTTTCATTTGTGTAACTTGCCTTTTACAAGCACCCAAGCAACCTGCCTCCAGTGCTAGTTAGGGTTCCTTTTCCAAGCAGCTCTCTGGTTAGCAAACAATCTCTGGTTTTCAAAAATAAAGGCGAGGCCATGGAGAAAGACTGCTGGCTTAATGTTAACTACTGCTTGTTTAGCAATGCCATTGCTAACTAGAAAGCAGTTAATGATTTGCAATTGATTCATACTCACAGCTGAATTTCCTGTTTCATTTAATAATAAAATGTAATCTTGGCTGTTACTGGTTATGTATCTGCACATGTCCAAGATGCTTTTATCTTTTCAAACTGAATTAAGAAATTCTACTTAGCATGGCTAGGAACTTGACAAAATTAATTCTTTGGCGCTTAATGCTTATAGGAGAAAACAAAGATTTCATAAGCAAAAATATCTTCACATAATGTAATCTATGGGGGAAATTCCCTCTTGTATTTAGAAAAATGGGGGGGGGTGTGTTTATAAGTAGGTGACTTATAAATACAGTAACTATAAAACACATATTTAGAGCTCATTTTATCAAGGTTTGAAGCACTATGATACTGATTCTTTCAAAAGGGAATGATACCAGAGATCTAAAATCCTTACTTTTAAGAGCAAGTAACATTCAAGTCCCAAGGAGATGTGAAAACCTGAGAACCAGAATCACTGATCCATTTTTTGACCTCTCCTATTAGTCTGACTGAAATAGGTTGGGGAAAAGTAAGTTGCTACAGTTAAAAACAAGTCCGTAATTTTGCCAACCCATTAAGGTTCTCGAGTTATGAAGGATATCAGCAGAAGTGGGGCTGAAAATTACTAATCTGTTCCAGAGGGCAGGGCTTGACTGCAGAAAAGTCCTTGTGATTTCTTGCAGCTGTTAGTGGAATTTTTGTACTGGTGGAAGATTTGGCTCCAAAGACTACTGCAAAACTAACAGATGTGGGGTTTCCCTCTAACAACCTGTCAGCTGTAGGTCCTTCAGTAACCCCCAGACTCACCAGCCACTTCAGCTTCAGGGAGAACAAGGTGCTAAAGAAAAACACTGTCCAAATAACTGGGCAGATAATGAGGCCAAGCCAAAAGATTCGAGCTTCAGCTTCAGTTGAGGCAGCTATTGTAGGCACCTAGAAGGAAAATTATGGAAACTACTAGTCACAAAGACAAAATCCACAATAGATAAAAAATTAGCAGAATGGACAAAATTCTTTTTATCTAAATTTCACATTATATGCCTAGAAGGACAACTGAATAAGAAGAAAAGTAGCTGATGTGAAGTTTTCTACCTGCTGCCCTACTGTACATGACAGCATTTTAATTTCAAAATGTTCCTGTGTCCGTTCACATTTAAATGAGAGATATTCCTTTCATCAATGATAGCTCTCATGAACACTACATATTAGTAGTATTTTAAAGTCAAAGTCCTGTTACACTGACAACTGCTTCTAAAATTCAGAAATACTAAGTTAACTTTGACATTAGATTCAAACTTTACCAAGGCCTTAGAGAAGTGTGAAACAGAAGACACTGTTACAAGCAGAACACGAGTGTGAGTACTTCACTGTCTGCAGTGTAGGTTTGTGACATGTGCCCTGTTCACAAACCAAGAGTATAGGGGGAAATTCAGTCCAGTATTGGGAAAGCTATTGTATCTAATGTGGAAATTGCAATGAGCCGTTACAAGTACTACCAAGCAAACTTTAAAGATCCCCCACAGGATTTATCAGTTCCCGTTCAGACAATGGAATCCTCATTACAATGCCCATTTCCATATATTTTCCTAAAAACATGCAGTATCTTAGCTTAATTTAAATCTTGCGTGAAGCTCAGTTTTCTGTTATATGAACTAATACTTCAATTTTGCTTATGAAGTCCACCGATACTCTAGAAATTAAGAACTGTGGCTTTGAAAATGCCTCTTCTGTAGTACTGGTGTTGGACACCACAGTAACTGCTGGCATCTCTGAAGGAGGCATCATTTCTCACAGTGCTCTATTTGTGTTCCTTGGGGAGAACAAAAAACCTCAAAGCAAAAGCCCTGCAAAAAGCCCTGGTTGTACATGTCATCAGGTCAGCACAACTCATGTGTCGCTATCTACACTGAAAGGCTCACTGTTAACTCCAAACACTTAAACTAAAGAAAGAGAATTGTTCAGTAAGTTCTGATCTTTCCTAGGAGACCAGAATTCAAAATCTCACTCCAAACTGCAGACCGCTCAACCACCACTAGTGCTAGTTTCTGAAATACAGGCTTCACAGCTGGAAAGGAAAGCCCCGTGGACATGCCCACTCCAAAAACTGAAAAGCCTTCCAGTTCATTTTCAGTATCTTGAATTCTCCATGTAAAAACAAGACACATCCATCCATCCAGAGACAATGGCATCCAACAGTTAAGTTACTCTATCTTGCCGAACAAAACCCTAAAAGATGCAATAATCACAAGGTGTCTAATTTTTTCATGTACCCTCTAAACTAGTGATGTTGCAGAGGTCCAGAGAACAATGTTCTGTGCTTTCACAGTTACAGAAAAAGACAGATGTTCTGAGTTTAATCATCTGTACCACCTGAAAGGGTTTAATCACCTGTGTCCCAAATTACTGTCAAAAAAAAAAAAAAAAAAAAAAAAAAGTCAATATACCTGAGAACTCTGCACCTAAAAAAAAACTAGTTAACTTGATGAGCAAGATTACAAAAGGCTGCAGTCATCGAAAAGAAAGGAGAAAGGAGTTGTGGTGTTAGGGCTGTAAAA